GTGCCTCTGCTCCAAACCCCCAAAACCCCTCTGGAGGGCAGTGAAAATTCCCCAGGAATTCCCATTTTGAAGCTCTGCTCTGGTTTCAGCAGCGAGAGGTGAAGGGGAAAGTCAAGAGTGAAGGAAAAATCGGAGTGCAAAAAAATCTAGGGGGAAAAAATTCTGAATGACAAAAATCCGAGGGAATGAAAATTCAGAGTGAAGGAAAGTCAGAATGAAGGAAAAATCTGAGTGAAAAAAAAAAAAACGAGAGAAGAAAAATCCGAGTGAAAAAAAATCTGGGTGAAAAAAAATCTGAATTAAAAAAATCTGAGTGAAAAAAAAATCTGAGTGAAAAAAAATCTGAGTGAAAAAAAATCCGAGTGAAAAAAAAATCTGAATGAAAAAAATCAGAGGGAAGGAAGATTCAGAGGGAAGGAAAAGTCAGAGTTAAAAATCCAAGGGAAGGAAAAATCAGAATGAAGAAAGAATCAGAGTGAAGAAAAAAAACAAGAGTTAAAAATCCGAGGGAAGGAAAAATCAGAATGAAGAAAGAATCAGAGTGAAGAAAAAAACAAGAGTTAAAAATCCGAGGGAAGGAAAAATCAGAATGAAGGAAAAATCAGAGGGAAGAAAAAGTCAGAGTGAAAGAAAAATCCGAGGGAAGGAAAAATCAGAGTGAAGAAAATTCAGAGTAAAGGCAAATCCAGAGTGAAGGATGTGCTGCAGGCAGGGCCATTCCCAGGAGAAGGGGCAGAGGCATCCCTGGGTGTCGGGGCAGATGAAATACAGGGCAGGATGAAATACAGGGCAGATGAAATACAGCAGCACCTGCCTGACTTTTTCACGCGCCTGGCACGGCCGGGTGTCAGCTGAGGGGGCTACGTGCAGGCAGGGATGGCACCAGGGCTGCAGGATGCACCAAGGACGCTGGGGCTGTGCTGGCTGAGGTGGGAGCTCCTGGCTGCCCCATCCATCCATCCATCCATCCATCCATCCATCCATCCATCCATCCATCCCTCCTGGCAGATTTGATCCGGGGGAAATCCTCGGCTATATTGAATTTGCGAGCTTTAATCTCCAAATTTTGGATAGAAATCCCAGGCATGCCTGGCCTCGCTGTGAGAGCTGGAAAGGTCAGAGAACAAACCAAGCATGAAAATTTGAGGCTGCTGTGGCAGAGGCTCCCGGATCCCCTGGGACCTGCAGGACCTTTCAGTCACCTGCTGGGCTGTGATTGGCCATTAATTAGAAACAGCCACACGAGCCAATCCCAGATGCACCTGTTGCATCCCACAGCAGCAGATAACCATTGTTTGCGTTTTGTTCCTGAGGCCTCTCAGCTTCTCAGGAGGAAAGATCCTAAGGAAAGGCTTTTTCATGAAACACTGCCCCACGGCCCTGCCTGCCCTGTGCCCCAAACCCTCAGCCCCTGCAGCTCTGGCTCCCCACACACACACACACAGACATTGATTTATCCTCCTGCAAACCCAGCGCTCCCCCAACGCTCCCCACACACACAGGGATGGACACGGGAGCAGTAAATGAGACAGAACTTTATTAGGAGCTTCCAGCACGTTCCATCTGCTCTCCCCCTGCACGGGAGCCCTCTCGGTGGGTGTGCAGCTGCTCCAGGCCTTGCAGAGCCTGTCCAGCCCTAAACCCCAGCCCCAGGTCTCCCTGTGCCAACCCACGGCCCCCAGCCCACCCCTGCAGCCCTCGCAGCCCCTCAGCACAAGGAAGGAACCTCCCCTCTCTGCTGTCACCCCACAGACACCGTGGATCCCAATCCAGTCCCTCCCTGGTGCTGTCACCAGGCTGCTGAGGGGAGGAAGCTCCTCCTGAGCAATGAGCCATGCCCTGGGGTGCTGAGGGAGCCCTGGGGACAGGGGGGACTGAGCCATTGCATTTCCCACTTTCCCTCACCCCACGTCTCCCTTCGCCTCTCTAGGAGGGGAGGCACAAAGGGAAATAAATCAAATACCCAGAGCCTTTCCCTGCTGCTTGGCACAGCCAAACCTGCCCACCTCCTCCTCCTCCTCCCTGCTGTCCCCTCTCCTGACCCTCCCCGAGCTCAGCCCCGTCCCTGCTGCCCTTCCCTCAGTCCCCCCGTGTGACCCCTGCCCGTCCCTGCTGCGGGATGGGGACGTGTCCCTGTCCCAGCTGTCCCCAGGGACGGAGCCGCGGCGGCAGAAACCTCATCCCCGAGCTGGGGCTCCTTGGGAGTGAAACCCGAGAGGGGTTTGATGCTCCTGGAGCGATCATGGGAGCGCTTGGCAGCGAGCCCTGCATCCCTCTGGGAGCTGCTGCCCAGCCCGGGCTCTGCCAAGCTCTTCCCAAAGCTCCTCCAGAGACATCCCGGCTCTTTTTGTAGGGGTGAAACGCTTCCCTGCATCCTCTGAGCATCCCTGTGCCCCTCCAAGCCTTTCTGTGCTACCTCTGAGCGTCCCTGTGCCCCTCCGTGCATCCCTGTGCCACCTCTGAGCATCCCTGTGCCATCTCCAAGCATCCCTGTGCCCCTCCGAGCATCCCTGTGCCACCTCCGTGCAACCCTGTGCCATCTCCGTGCCTTTCTATGACACCTATGTGCATCCCTGTGCCCCTCCGAGCATCCCTGTGCCACCTCCGTGCAACCCTGTGCCATCTCCGTGCCTTTCTATGACACCTATGTGCATCCCTGTGCCCCTCCGTGCATCCCTGTGCCACCTCTGAGCATCCCTGTGCCATCTCCGAGCATCCCTGTGCCCCTCGGAGCATCCCTGTGCCACCTCCGTGCAACCCTGTGCCATCTCCGTGCCTTTCTATGACACCTATGTGCATCCCTGTGCCCCTCCGAGCATCCCTGTGCCACCTCCGTGCAACCCTGTGCCATCTCCAAGCATCCCTGTGCCCCTCTGAGCATCCCTGTGCCACCTCAGTGCCTTCCTGTGCCACCTCCGTGTGTCCCTGTGCCACCTCCAGGTGACTCCAGCGGGAGGAGGGACCATCGGGGCACTGTCCTGTCCTGTCCTACCGTCCGTTCCCGTGCCCGGGAGCTGCCGCTCCCCGTGCCCTGCTGTCCGGTCGGGGATGGGGCCGGGGCAGCTCTCGGGGCCGGCTCCAGGCTTCTGCCACTGTCCAAACGAAGCCCCGGCCCCGGGCGGCGGCTCCGGCGCGGCACGGGTTAAGTCCGGGGGTGCCCTTCCCTGACCGTCCTTCGGAAGTAGCGGATGGCCGAGAGGGTGCCAAAGCTCGCCAGGAACACTGGAAAACAGCCCAGGACATCGCCAGTGTCGCTCCGGTCCCGAAGCGCTCGGGGGGACACGCGGGGGTCGCTCCTGTCCCTTCCCCTGTCCCCCCTCCTGCCCGGGGTTTGCATTCCCAGCACACGGAATTTGCTCCTGTCCCATTCCCAGCGCACCGAATTTGCTCTGGGGGTCGCTCCTGTCCCCTCTCCTGCCCGGACGCCAAGAAAAATCCCACTTTGGGGATTTTCTGGCCCCAGCCAAAAGCAGAAAATATCCAAAACTGAGAATCCAAAGATGTAGGAACACAAGAAATAACTAATGGGGGTGAAACCCAAACCAAGCTCTGCTCTGTCCTTGCACCCAATGATTTTGATTTGCTTTATAAAGGACATTAAGTTCCCTTAATTCCCAAGCAAAACCAGGAATCCAAAGCCATGTTTTCAGACCCCACACCTCAAATTCAGACTGGACTTTGATTTATGAGCTAGAGGAACACAAACTCAGCTTGTTGGAAGCCCAAATGCCCAAATCCTCCACGAGGAGCTTATCCCCCTTTCCACCCCATTTCCAGGGACATCCCCTCCATCCCAAACCCTCAGCAGGACGGGGAGCAGGCCAGGAGCTGCTGGGGATGAGGGCAGGGAGCAGCCTGAGCTCAGGAGCTATTCCCAGCCCGCTGTCAGCTGCCTGCTGACCTTAGCAGGGAACATTCCTCGCCTGCAAGAGCAGCAGGAAGCCTCCATCCTGGCGTTTCTTCCCATGGAAGGGGCTCCGCGGGGCAGGGACTGGGAATGCTGCTCTGGAAGGGCTCTCCAAGGGTTCCAGGGACTGGGAATGCTGCTCTGGAAGGGCTCTCCAGGCTGCAGGGACTGGGAATGCTGCTCTGGAAGGGCTCTCCAAGGGTTCATCCAGGGCAGGGATCAGGAATGCTGCTTTCCCTGAGCCCTGCTCATCCAGCCATTCCCACTCCTGTGGGTTTCTGTGAATTTCTGTTTCCTCAGCTTCCTCTCTCCTCACCAGCTTCCAAGAGCTGGGCTTGGAGAGGAGAGGATGCCACAGATCCCCAGGGAATTGCAGGGCTCAGTGCAGGAGGATGATGGGGAGAAGATGAAACTTCCTCCTCCTCCTCTTTGCGGGGAAGATTAAACCTTCTGAGCACCTCAGAAAAACACGGGAATTTTGGTGCTGGATGAAGGTTTAACCACAGCTTTGGTCATGACAAAGAACCCCAGGCAGGCTTGGCCTCGCTGCGAGGCCAATTTTGTTGGGAATTTTGTTCCTGCTGGGATGAAGGTACCGAAACCTGCTCACTGCAGGTCCTGAGGAATTCCTGCCAAGCTGAGCCCTGTCAGGGACCCTGGATGGAGCAGGACCAAGGCTGTGGAGCCAGCAGCTGCTTTTGGGGAAAGCACAAAGGACACGAGCAGGAATGGGATCGGAGGGGAGAGAAAAGGCACGGGAACGGCTTTGGAACACCAGGGAAAGGCTGCACTTCCCCAGAGGCAGCTGCAGGTATAAATATCCCGATTTTCCTCGCTGCCAACGTCCCCCAGAGCCCTCCCACCCCTCCCCAGGCTGGCACTGTACGTACTGGTCTTCCAGGCATCCGGAGCCTGCAGGTCAGATGTCTTCACAGCCCAGGAGGCGAAGGCACAGAACACCAGGCACATGTCCTTGTGGCTCAGCACCCGGGGCTCCTCCTCTGCTGCTGCTGCCACGAGAGGAGCACGAGGCGCTGGGGGCTCTGTGCCGCCCCCTCTGCCACAGCAAACCCCTGGGGAATCAGCCCTGGAGGTCTTTGGGCACCAGGGGGGACTCAGAGGGCTCTGTGCATTCCCAAGGGACAGGGGGACGCTTGTCACCCCTCCCCTCAGTCCTTCACTTTGTTAAACACCCCAAGGAAATGGGGTTTTTAACCCCTCCCCTCAGTCCTACACTTTGCTAAAAACCCCAAGGAAATGGGATTTTTAACCCCTCAATCCCACACTCTGTTAAAACCCCCAAGGAAACGTTTGCTGAAGCCATCCCAGGCTGCCTCAGCTCTCTGTGGTGGCTGCAGTCGGGTCTGGGGGGAGACTGGGGACACAGCAATTCCTGGGGACACAGGCAAGGTCCCCTCCTGTCCCCAGTGTCCCCAGGCACACCCAGCCAGCTCCAGGACAGCACCTGAGAGTGCTCAGTGTCCATATCCCACCCCACTCCTGCCTCCTATTCCCTGAGCCAGCCTGCAACAGCTTCAGATCAGGTTCTTTCTGCTCCTATTCATTTGTTCAGGCTTTCAATTAAAGCTGCCTTATTAATTAGCTGTGAGCACCTCAGAGGGTTTTTCTCAGACTGGAAGCTCCATGCTGAGGCTCCCTTTGGGATGGCTCCCTCAGTGTTTGGGTTGAGGATTAACTCCGAGCATCATTTAAGCTCAAAGACAAACCCCTGCCTGTCCTGGTGGATCAAACCTCCCCTTCATTCCCATTTCTCTCACCTGCCCCCAGGAACTGCAATGCTCAGGTGACCTCTGAGGTCTCCAGAGGGTGTTTGCCTGCTCAGGGTGGGTTTTACAGTCCCACATTCCCTGACAGTGCTGGGGGACCTGGCCAGGAGCACTGGCTTGGCACAGGGGACAGAGAGAGGAACATCCCAAGGGAGAACCCAAGGGACAGAAGGAACATCCCAAGGGACAGAAGGAACATCTCAAGGGACAGAGAGAGGAACATCCTAAAGGATAACCCAGGGGGACAGAGGCATCCCAAGGGAGAACCGAAGTGACAGAAGGAACACCCCAAGGGATAACCCAAGGGGACAGAGGGACCAATCCAAGGGACAGAGAGAGGAACATCCCAAGGGACAGAGGGAGGAACATCAACATCCCAAGGGAGAGCCCAAGGGGACAGAGGGACCATCCCAAGGAGAGCCAGGGTGACACAGCCTGGGACAGGTCCCTGCAGGGGACAACAGGATTTACCTCTCAGTGCCAGGGCGCTGTCCTCAACTTCTGGCCAGCCCTGGGCTCCTCCCAGCGGGACCAGGGCGAGCTCCTCTCCGGATCTTCTGGGCACCAGGGCCTGGGAGCCTGGGGCTTGGCCTCCTCCCAGCTGGGCCCGCCTCTGCAGCAGGGAGCCCAAAGCCCTCACAGCTTTCTTCACCTCTGAGGCCGGGGCCAGGGAGAAAATCCCTCTCCAGCCCATCCTGTTGGGGGCTGGCTCTGGGAAGAAGCGTTCATGCACATCAGGGACCGAGATAACCACGGTGTCCTTGTCTGCAGCAGGGCTGGGCGCCTCCTGGTGCAGCCCAGGGCGCTCCAGGCCTCTCAACTTCTTTCTTTTCCTGTCTTTAGCTCTGCCTTTCTTCCTGCTTCCTTCTGGCTCGGTGAAGAAGTACTCGTAGAGCTCAGGCCAGGAGATTTCCCTCTGCAAGGGCGATCTGCGCCCCTCCAGGGAGCTGCCCAGCTCCTCCTCCTCCTGGGAGTCACAGAACAGGTACTCGTACATCTCGGGCCAGGTCACATCCAGGGAGTTGGGCTTGCCAGAGGCCCCCTCGGCAAAGCACAGGGGGCTGGCGGCCCTGGGGAGCTCAGCTGCAGCTTCCCAGGGCAGCCCGGCTGTGGCATCACACGGGATCCCGATGGCAGGGATCCTGGGCAGCCCGGCTGCGGGGTCACACGGGATCTCGATGGCAGGGATCCTGGGCAGCCCGGCTGTGGCATCACACGGGATCTCAATGGCAGGGATCCTGGGCAGCCCGGCTGCGGGGTCACACGGGATCTCGATGGCAGGGATCCCGGGCAGCCCGGCTGTGGCATCACACGGGATCTCAATGGCAGGGATCCTGGGCAGCCCGGCTGCAGGGATCCTGGGGATGTCAATGGCAGGGATACTGGGGATCTCAATGGCAGGGGTCCTGGGGATCCCAACTCCAGCATTCCGGGAGATCTCAGCTGCAGGGCTCCTGGGGATCTCAATGGCAGGGATACTGGTAATCCCAACTGCAGGAATCGTGGGGATCTCAATGGCAGGACTCCTGGGAATCACAGCTGCAGGCTCCCAGGGGATCCCAGCTGCAGGAACCTCGGGGATCTCTGAGGGCTTCCTGGGAATCTCAGCTGCAGTAATTCCAGGGATCTCTGAGGGCTTTCTGGGAAGTTCAGCAGCAGGAACTGCAGGGATCTCAGCAGCAGGAATTCCAGGGATCTCAGCAGCAGGAACTGCAGGGATCTCAGCAGCAGGAATTCCAGGGATCTCAGCAGCAGCAGGGATTCCAGGTAACCTAGCCGCAGGAACTCCAGGTATCTCAGCAGCATTCCCTCCAGGTGTCTCATCAGCAGGCTGCCCCCCAGCCCCCTCAGCAGCATTCCCTCCCAACGCCGTCACATTCCGGGGCTGGAGAGGCTTCCCTGGCATCTCCTGGCTCTCCTCCCCTGGCAGAGCCGCGGCTCCGTCCGCAGGGACCGCGGGGACAGTGTCACGTCCGCCCTGCGCTGCCCTCGGGGGCCGGGTGCCCTTGGTCCTGCCCGGGGCCTTGGGGCCGCCCTCGCCGCCCTCGGCCCGCCGGCTCTCGGCGGCCTCCTCGCTGCCCGGCCTCGCCAGCGCCGCCCTGGCCGCCCTGTCCCTGGCCCTGCCCTTCCGCGGGGACGCGGGGGAGCCCGGCGGGGCCTTGCCGGGGGGCGCCGCGCTCGGGGCGTCCCGGTCCCCCTCGGCCCCGCGCTGCTTGCGGCTCTTCCTGGGCTGCGCCGGCACCTTGGGCCTCACCACGCTGGGGGAGCCGCCCGGAGAGCCGGGCCCCGTGCCCGCCGTGTCCTGCTGCGCTGCCACCGGGGGCTCCGTGCCCGCCGTGCCCGGCTGCTGCTGCTGCTGCTGCTGCGCTGCCACCCTGGGCTCCGTGCCCGCCGTGCCCGGCTGCTGCTGCTGCTGCTGCACTGCCACCGGGGGCTCCGTGCCCGCCGTGCCCGGCTGCTGCTGCTGCTGCTGCTGCTGCGCTGCCACCGGGGGCTCCGAGGGGGCTCCGGGGGCTGCTGGGGCTCCTGGCTGTGCCAGCGGGGCTTGTGTCCCTCCTGCATCCCCGCCCTGCTCCATCCCTGCGGGCGCTGCCCCCGCCGTGCCCTGCGCGGTGCCCCCGGGTGCCCGCGGGGGCTGCTGCCTCCTCTGGGCGCTGGGCATGGCAGCCGCACAGCCGGGCCGGTGGCTGTCGCTGTCACACAGGACCCTGCCCGGCTCCGCTCCGCGCTCGCTGCCCGGCACGCAGCACTGCCCGCGGCTGGCACCGGCGCTGGCACCGGCGCGGGCACCACGTGGGACAGGGTTGGCACTGCCGGGCGCTGCGGGCTCGCTGCCCGGCCCGGCCGCGCTGCCCCTGCCGCCGCTGTCCCCTTGCTCAATGTCACTGAGGCTCTGCTCCTCGGCCGTGGCCAGCGAGGCCGGCGCCAGGCTGCACTCCTCCGCGGCCCGCAGGAACTCGGCCCACTCGCGGTCCGTCAGCTGGATGCTGTACTCGAAGTTATCCATGCCTGTGGCGGGGGAGCGGCCGCGCGTCAGGCACGGCGGGGTGGCACTGCTGTGTGCCCCCAAAGGCCAGCTGTGTGCCCCCAAAACCCAGCTGTGTGCCCCCAAAACCCAGCTGTGTGCCCCCAAAACCCAGCTGTGTGCCCCCAAAGGCCAGCTGTGTGCCCCCAAAACCCAGCTGTGTGCCCCCAAAAGCCAACTGTGTGCCCCCAAAGCCCAGCTGTGTGCCCCCAAAAGCCAACTGTGTGCCCCTAAAAGCCAGCTGTGTGTTCCCAAAGCCCCGCTGTGTGTCCCCCCCCAGCCAGCTGTGTGCTCCAAAAGCCAGCTATGTGCTCCCAAAGGCTAACTGTGTGCCCCAAATGCCAGCCCTGTGCCCCCATAATCCAGCTGTGTGCCCCCAAAGGCTTGGGATTCTCCCCACAGCTACACAGGGGGTTTGGGATGTTCCCCAGAGCTGCACAGGGGCTTTGGGATGGTCCTCACAGCTACACAGGGGCTTTGGTGTTCTCTTCACAGCACCATCACACCCCACACCCCCATTTCCCACCCATTTTGCCTCCAATCCACCTTAAACCTGGCACGGATGTTCCCGAGCATTCCCGAAGCCCAGAGCAGCCGGGGCATCCCCCACAGCACAGCAGGACAGCAGGACACACACAGCCGGGCAGGACAGCAGGACAGCACAGCAGGACAGCAGGACATGCACTGGGACAGCAGGACACACAGCTGGACAGAAGGACAGCACAGCTGGACACACACAGGGACAGCAGGACACGCGGGGAGGGGACAAGGCCCGTCCTTACCTGTCCCCCAGCCCCGGGCGGGGACGGGGCCGTGCAGGAGCCACAGCAGAGCCCTCCCAGCAGCACATGGTGCCCTGCCCTGGCTGGGGCACAGAGCCCGGCTCCGGCCCACATCCATTCAGGGACCAAAAATAAACCCTGTGTCCCTCCCCGGTGTCACCTGAGAGCCCAGGGCCACCGGGCCATATATAGAACTGCTGGGGACAGGCCAGGCTGGCTGGGACAGGGTTCACAGGGCTCTCAGGGTGAGGGGAGAGACGAGGATCTGACTCCGTGTTTCAGAAGGCTGATTTATTATTTTATTATATATATTACATTAAAACTATACTAAAAGAATAGAAGAAAGGATTTCCTCAGAAGGCTCGCTAAGAGTAGAAAAAGAAAGAACGATTACAAAGGCTTGTGGCTCAGACAGAAAGTCCAAGCCAGCTGACTGTGATTGGCCATTAATTACCAACAACCCCATGAGACCAGTCACAGATGCACCTGCTGCATCCCACAGCAGCAGATAACCATTGTTTGCATTTTGTTCCTGAGGCCTCTCAGGAGAAAAAATCCTAAAGAAAGGCTGACTGCTGCGACAGGTGGCAGCCAATGTGTGACAGTGCCACAGCCACGTCTGGGCACACTCCTGGTGCCCCCTGCTCCCTCCCGGGGTCACCGCACGGGGAAGGGGACAGGCCGTGGAGCTGCCAGCCTCTGGCACACCTGGGTGGCACTGACTGTCCTCTTTCCCATTTCCTCACCTCAGTCACGCTCTCCACAGTGACACAAAGCCACCTCGGGGGCAGGGTTCACCTATTTAGGGCACTCCCAGGGCAGGGTGACATCAGGAGGTCACAGCCGGCCCCAGGATCTTGTGACAAACCCCGCGGGGCGTGTGGCAGCACCCAGGGCCGCCTGTGCCACGTGCTGCGGGCACAGCCCGGGGGCAGCCTGGCACGGGGCACTGGCACGGCGCCCAAGAACGGCCTGGCAGGTCACGAAGCCGAGCCAGAAATAGCCCTCAGCTCCCACCAGCCTTCCTCCCACCTTCCTCCTCCTCCTCCCAGGGCCAGAAATAGCCGCCCTGAAGGAGCTGCCTGCAGCACAGGGGGTGAGGGAGAGACCCCAAAACCCAGCCCGGACCCCCAGCCAAACCCAGCCCAGGCCCCCAGCCCTGCCCCGAGGCTCCAGGGACCCCACAGCTGGACACACCTGGCCAGGGCCGGGGGTGCTGTGGGAGCTGAGAGGGGCTCTGCACCCCTGAGGGTCCCACAGGCTCTGCAAACCTTCGAGGGTCCTCCCCAGGGCCAGGTGCTGCCCGTGCCCCCCTGCCCACCTCCCTGTGGGCACAGGTCCGGGCTCTGTCCCCAAGGACAGGTGACAGCAGTGTCCCCAGTCCTGCCCTGCCATCCCCGGGATGGCTCTGTCCCCACAGGGAGGTGACAGCAGTGTCCCTGTCCTGCCATCCCGTGGGACCGAAGCTCCCCGCGGTGGCGGCTGTCCCGCACTGCACGGCGGGGACGGAGCCAGCCCGGCCCGGCCCGGCCCGGCCCGGCCCAAGAAACTCCATTTGGGAAGATTCTATCTCAGTGCAGCTTTTCAATCCAGCACTGGAACATCACGAGTGCGGGGCCTTGGCTGTGCTCCCCGTGAGCCAGCCCAGACAATGCAGAGAAACGTGGCTTTGATTAGGAGGATCCTCCCTGCGCCGGTGCACACCCATCGCACGCTGTGCGGCAGGGCAGGGAGGGAGAGACTGCAGGAAAAACAGTGGGAAAAAAATTAAAATAAAATAAAATAAAATAAAATAAAATAAAATAAAATAAAATAAAATAAAATAAAATATAAAATAAAAAAATAAATAAAATAAAATAAAATAAAATAAAATAAAATAAAATAAAATGGAAAATGCTGCCCCTGATCTGATCCATTCCTTCCTTTCCATGAATTCCTGCAGGGTCCCACCTGTCCAAGGACAGCTCACGGGGATTGGGGAACGCTGAGCTGCTCACGTACAGCCCCGACCCTGCACAGGGCCAGGAGCCCTCCCTGGGATGATCCCAATCACAGCAATTGGGATCCAGCCCAGGGAAGGCCGGGGAGGAGCAGCTGCGTGCTCAGGAAAGGGTTAACCCTCAGTGAAACCCCGAGCCAGCCAAGCCGCAACCACCGGGCTGGTTTTGCTGGTTTGGGGGCAGGTGAGCAGCAATTATCAGCCCCAAACCACCCCAGAGCCGCATTGTTTTCCCCCAAACCCTTTAACTCTTTTTTAAATTTTGGTTTGTTTTTTGGTTTTTGCCTGAAACTCACTCCCCGCTCTCCGTTAAAATTCCGGGCCATGCTCATGCAAAGGTCACGCTCGCTTGAAACGCAGCCCGGGCCGGCCTGAAGCGCTGCCAGGCCCTTCCCAGAGCTCCCTCCTGGCCGCAGTTTCGGGTTGCTCATCCAAGGCTGGCCGGGTTTCACATTGCTGAGCGAGAACCTGGGGCTGTGCCCTGCCAGGAGCAGCCCCGGGCAGGGACAGGGACAGGGGACACGGGGACAGGGACAGGGACACGGGGACACGGGGACAGGGACAGGGTGGCAGTGCCAGGGGCAGGGACACGGTGGCAGTGCCAGGGACACGGTGACAGTGCCCAGCACCTCCGAGGAGAGGGAAAACAGAGCAGGGAGATGCCCCGAGGCAGCGGGAAGGGCTCAGGAAGCAGAAGCAGGAGGCACTGACCCTGGGGACAGCCCTGGAGTGCCCGGCTGTGCCCGGACAGACACCGTCCCCTGTCCCCTGTCCCAGAGCGGCCTGGCCGCTGCTCCTGCCTTGGGCACAGCAGCTGCAGGGCCAGGTGACCTCTGCCATGGCCCAGCCACCTCCCTTTCCGTGCTGTCCACTTTATCCTCTTCATTCTCTTCATTCTCATTATCTTTACTCTAATTTTTCTCTTTATTCTATTTTTTTATTAATGCATATTATTATTCCATTATTGTTCTATTTATCCTATTTTATTTTTTTTAAAGTCCTGAATAGAGCCTCTGGAAGTTCCAGCTCTCAGGAATCCTTTTTCCCTCCCCCGAACCCGGCAGGATCAGGTTTTTACCTGCGCACTCCCGTTCCTGCCGTTTCCACTAGATGTCACTTACAGCCGCCAAGTCCGCGCTTTCCCGGGATTTTTCACCTCCTCTCCGGCGGTTCATATTCTGTGCGAACCCTAAAATCGGGGTCTGGGCTGTGCAGAACGGGGGGGCCGTGCTGGAGCAGCCAGGGGAGGGTTTGGGGGTCCCCTGAGCATCCATCCATGCTGGGGTATGAAAATCCCAATTCCACAGGGCTGGGAGGGCAGGGGCTGTGCTGGGAACGCCTGTCCTGGCAGGGAAATGCTTTTGTAGAGACCGGGTAACTGAGAGGCGCTTTGAAAGATTTTATTCTGTTACTAGTCCCGATGGAGAGAGAGACAGAAGAGACGTAAAACTCGACGCTGTTCTGATTAGAAGCCAGGAGCTCCCCACCCAAAATTCCTCCCTAAATTTTTCGGGGAAAAATAATTTCAATACTAAACTCCAATACTTACTAAATTTCAATACTTAATAAATACCTTTTAGCCTATTAGTTTTGCTACACAATACTATTATTTCTAACACCAATCACCTGTATTTTCACCCCGCGTGGCCCTGCTACAATGCACCTTTCGCAGCTCTAATGCGGGCCTGTACAAACCGCCCATCTTCAAGAATCCTTTACAACTCTAAGAATTCTTTACGAATCCACTTCTCCCAGAGGACATTCATGAACACACTCAGTTCCCAGGCTCCGTCCAAAGTGGGAATTTCCCAAATTCCACAGGAAGGGTTTCCAAGCTGGTGATACCATGCCAGCAGCGGGTGACAGTGACACCGAGCCAGCAGCGGGTGACACTATGCCAGCAGCGGGTGACAGTGACACTGTGCCAGCAGCGGGTGACACTGTGCCAGCAGTGAGGGACACCGTGCCAGCAGCAGGTGACACCGTGCCAGCTGTGCAGCAGGGAGCCGTGCCAGGAGCAGCACCAGGCTCAGCCCTGAGGAGCCCAAATGTCAGAGCAGCTCCAGCTGCGCCAGCTGCGCCAGCTGTGCCAGCTCCCAAGGACATCCCTGACCCCAAGATCTGCCGCCCTCGCTCGCCTGGGAGTGAACACTCCATCGGAGCAGAGCTGCCTTTACTTTGTTCCAGGTTCTTGAATGCAA